AAACTACAACTTACTGTGATGATTGTTATGGCTGCATTTGAACAAAACACTATGGGAATCCAGGGGAGAGAATAATTAATATTGCTTGCAAGGGCTCTGGATGAATTCATGAGCAAGTGATATCTGGATCTTGAAGGTAAAGTAGGATTTTTGCAGGTAGAGAAACAGGATAAATAAATAAACAAATATTCTAAACTCTATAATTAGATTCTAACATCTGTAGGTAGTCTTTTGTATGTCTTTTTCCATGTCTGGGGCAGTCCACATTTTGTTTTAAGGTTTATTTATTTTTATTGCAAAGTCAGATATACAGAAGAGAGAGTCGGAGAGGAAGACAATCCACATTTTCTTATTCAGCTAAAACAAATGCCTCCGAGATGGAATGTGTTATTTCTGAAGTCAATTAGTTTATACAATAACTTCAACTTAGTTCTTCAGTTCTGGGGCTTAGTTGTGGATGACCAAGTCAACTATTTTACCATTGCATTCTTAACCTAAGTATTCGGTCATAATCCTTAGCCAAGCTGAAACAAAGACACTCAGATTCTTTGACTATCCACTGACATAGTCCAATGAAGCCTAGGTATTTCTTGAAACATTTGCATCAACACATTGTAATCATTTGCATCACAGTATAAACATTCATATGTCAGAACTTTGCCCAGCAACCGTCTATCTAGCCTCAGGGAACCCGTGTAGGAGAACCATGAGGGGCAGTGACGGAGGAGACAGAGTGTGCTATGTGGAGTGCATTCCTTCCTCTCCTCCTATCACCTAAGAAAGCAAAAAGAAAATGTATTGCTAGATGCTCATACAGATCTCTAACAAAGTACCTATCACAACTCATGTGCTTGTTTACAGTGCATATCCTGTGTCAGGCGGAGTCCACTCAGCTGATTCATCTTAGTTTGATCTTTAGGTCTCTTCTATTTGATATAATTGTTGGCACCCATTTATGGACTGATAGAATAATGGATTTGTTTCATAGGGAGGGATATTTTTCTTCTTTAATGGGTAATGGATCTTTGTTTTAGAAAGTTTAGGAATGCTAGATTTTTTTTTAAAAAGATTTATTTATTTTTCTTGCAAAGTCAGATATACAGAGAGGGGAGACAGAGAGGAAGATCTTTCATCCGATGATTCACTCCCCAAGTGGCCACAATGACTAGAGCAGAGCTGATTTGAATCCAGGAGCTTCTTCCATGTCTCCCACACAGGTGCAGGGTCCCAAGGCTCCACTGCTTTCCTAGGCCAGAAGCAGGGAGCTGGATGGGAAGCAGGACTGCTGGGACACAAATCCCATATGGGATCCTGGCACATGCAAGGCAAGGACTGTAACAGCTAGGCTGCTGTATCAGACCCCCATTATCTTTTTCTTCTTCTTCTTTTTTTTTTTTTTTTAAGATTTTAAGGTTGTTTTTGGTTAAGATTTATTATTTATTTTTATTGGAAAATCAGGTATATACAGAGGAAGAAAGACAGAGAGGAAGATCTTCCGTCTGCTGATTTGTTCCCCAAGTGGCCACAACGGTCAGAGCTGAGCCAATCTGAAGCCAGAAGCCAGGAGCTTCATCTCTGTCTCCCATCAGGGTGCAGGGTCCTAGCACTTTCCCAAGCAGGGAGCTGGATGGGAAGTGGAGGATCCAGGACATGAACTGTAGCCCAGAAGGGATGCTGACACTTGGAGGTGAAGGACTAGGTCAGTGAAGCTGTCATGCTGGCCACATTACTCTAGGCCTTGGCAGAGATCTCTGTCAAGACTTGGGATGAAAAGCCTCTGATAAACACATAAACTCCAATAGTATTTCAGCCATGTGAATTAAATGTGAGATTTGGAAGATATAAGGAAAGACTGTATTCTAAACCTGATGGAAAATAACATAAAATTTTTGCCTTCAGCAATATTTGCTAGAACATAGTCACATGATGGATCTGATACATAATCAAGCAAGAATTTGATTATAATTTTAGCACAAATGAGGGCATTGGTAGTTCCCACCACCATCAACAATTTTATTATAATGATAGAATGATCTCAAGGTAGGGCAAAAGTAATTTACAGTTTAACGGGTTTTTGTGTGTGTGGCTTATTACCCAAATTCTCTGGAAAATTTCCTTTCAGGTTCTGTGTTTGTTTAGCAGTTCCCTTACAATATATGTGTGACTAAAATTATTTTAACAGTCTTAATAGTATTGTAATGACAAAGATTCTGTAGGTTTTGTGACAACACATTCCAGTGTTCTGTGTGAGTTTACTTAATTCCTTTTCAGTGGTTGATATTTGAAACTCTTTTATTGAGAACAGATCCAGGTACACAATTCACAAAGTGCCTAAACAGGTCCAGGAGGGGTTAAAGAACACACCACCAATGTAAAAAAAACACACCAGCACTGCATTGCATAATATACAGAATCTGGTAGTTGAATCTGGGTTCTTGTGAAATTTTAATCAAGCGACTAGGGAATGTGATATATGCTGGTAATATAGGGGAATTCTAAAAACAACTAAATTTGCCGTACCTTTTGTTTTGTGATCCTATTGTAATTTCCAAGGAATGGAAATTTCCAAATTTTTAGATGTTTACTTTTTATTCAACTCAGAAGGTTTATGAGAAGTGCATGTGCATGGTGTGATGATTTCTTTTTAAAAGACATATAGAAGACTAGATTAAGAATAAAATAAAAAGGAAACAGTGGAATGGGTAGCAGATAACTTATTAAAGACAGAATGAACATAGTCATTTTTGTATGACTTACTATCATGAGGCAACCTGGTATTTTTGTGCTCAAACACTATTTACTAGCAAATTTGTGTTTTTAGTCAATGAAATTTGGAGGATAAAATGAAAATCTAGACCTCTGCTGTTTGCAAAGCATGGCCAAGCCTATCTATCTAAGCATTTTTTTCAAAGAAGGTAATTTTGAAAGGACAAGGTGGCAGGGGGTAGGGGAGGGGACCAGTTAGTTAATCAGTGCTCAGCGTGAGACCCGACCAGGTGGGGCCTAAGCCCAGGGAATTCACAAACAGAGCACAGATCATACTTGGGGGACCGCTCTTCATTTTGTTCTCATCTAAACAATCAAAATCTGACTAATGTAACGAAGAAAGTACCAGTTTGGCGGGGGTGGGGTGGGGGAAGGTACATAAGCCTGGGGGGAGAATGGAGGTTGAGTTAAATGCTACAGGGAGGCCTAGTCAACTTTTGACTTTTTAGTTAGGGTCAGAACAGTGTTGGGGATTTCCTATACCTTAAGTTTGCTGAGTGATTACGTAGGCCTGGGGGAAGAGGGTATGCGTAGTGATTCACCCAGCTTTCCCAGTACTGGGGTTCAGCCTGGTACACTGCAATTTCCTCTTCTCACATTACTTAATGACTAAGGGAAGGGGGGGGCGCCTCCCGCAGGCGCTTACCCCAATTGAATAAAACTGGGATTTCAATAAACCTTGGCCTCTTGAGCAACGAGGCCCGCAACTTCCTCTCTCCACCAGGTGGTGGGGGGGTCTTAGCATTCAGAAAAGAGACCTCCCTTGCAACTTGTTTGAACAACACCTGTGGCCATAGACACTGTAGGGACAGTTTCCTGTTCTGTCTGGCCATCTTCGGGGTGGCTCTGAAGAGCTTTCTCACCTGCATTAGGAGGAAAACCTTCAGAGTTGAGTACTACACAGAATTCAACGGAGATAATTGGACAACTTGAATCGGATAGAAAGATAGGTAAGCTGTGGTGACACAAGTTTAAATTCTACCCCAGCCACCTGTTGGGGCCTCCTTGGCTGTAACACTTTTTCCCCATCCCAGCACTCTAACTCCAGTCAAAATGTCCAGAATCGTGGTGTAAAGCCTCTACAATCTCTATGTATGTAAAACAAGAAAAACAGATTACATTCTTATGACTTGTATTTATCTTGGGGAGGTTTTGCTAAAAACCAGAAAATGAGAACTAAATCAACTCAAATAGTCTCAAAACCTAGCTCAAGTGGCATCAATATCCCACATAGGATGAAAATTACTTCCCAAGGTGCACACCCCACACACCAATTGATATTTTAATAACTTGATTAAAAACTTCCCAGACGTCTATTAGAGTCAGGAAACAGTCTGCGGTGTGTAGGTGAGGATTTTGTGCTTGCAATGGAAACTTCTGGCTGGAAGGACCGAAGAGCCAAGGGAAAGAAAAAAAAAAAAGAAACCCCTCGATTGCCTGGAATCTAAAGAGTAGCACTTAGGCTTTCTTTTTCTTCCCCCTTTTCCTCTGCAACAGCCAGGTGGGATCCACAGAATTCCACTGCTAAATTGTCTTCTACCTCCCAGTATCAATAAACCCGGACATTCCAGAACAATCAGCGAGATCTTTCTCTTTTTTAAAAAAACACACAAAAAAACAAACAAAAAAACATTTCAGCCACCAAAGGCCGGAGTAGGATGAAAGGGATGAAGCAGAGAAGGAACTTAAATCAGACGTACTCTCTTGGGGGGTGGGGGAGGAGGGTGGTTTAGAATATGGTTTGTTATTTCCTAATTAAAAAACGAGGGGGCCAGTACAATGTAGACATTTCCAGGGCTGGTGCGTCCGAGCGATAAAACACCATTCCCCTGAGTGACCCGCCCCCACTGCCCGGTCAGCCACCAGCCAGTGGGGTCCTTCCTTCCTGTGCCCAAACCCAGAGCTCGGGGTCTCCCGGGTCGCTCTCCTCCTGCGCACAGCTGGGCGCGGGGCCGGCCGCCTCAGGCTCTCCGCCTCCCAGGTCGCCGCAAATACCTTTTCCCTCCTCGGGGCCCCAGCGCGCGGACACCTCCCCTCCCCTCTCTTCCCTCCCTGGCTGTGGGGCCCGCTCCCGGCTCGGGAACAGCAGCCGGGGCCGCGGCGGCAGGAAGCGAGGCCCTTGTTGATGCTGTTCCGTGGCGCGCCTCCCCGCCCTCGGGCGGCTGCCCGGCTCTTCCCAGTTGGTGGCTGCCTCCCCTCCGCGCCTGCGCAGTGCCCGCCGGGGGGCGGGGCCCAGATTCCTGTCAGCGGCCGCGGCGGTGGCGGCGACCGTCAGTTTTCCCTGAGGAGAAGCACGAAACGCACCCGTTGGCTCTTCCCCCCCACCCCTTCCCCGCCCCGAACGTGTCTCCTACCTCGCCGGGAATCAGTACCCCCCCCTTGGAGTTTGTTCTCGAACCCGCAGCCGTTTCTTCGGTCCTCGGCCGGGGTGGAAGTCACTGCCCTCCAGGAGGAGGCGGCAGCAAGCAGCAGCAGCAGCAGCAGCAGCCGCCCTCGCCAGCCGCCCCCGGTTCGGTGCCCGCGGTCCCGGAGAGGAGGTGCCGCCGCCACCGCCGCTCCCCCCCCTCCGCCCTCCCGCTGCCCTCGGGCCGGGCTGGGTCGAGCTGCGATGCCCTCGGACTTCATCTCTTTGCTCAGCGCGGACCTAGACCTGGAATCGCCCAAGTCCCTGTACTCGCGAGGTGAGTCAGGCTGGGGGGGGGGAGGTGCGGGGGCAGGGCGTGGGGGCGGGGAGCCCAGGGGCGCGCGGGGTGGCGGGGAGCCCCGGAGGGAGTCGGGGTGCGGGTGCTGGGGGCGAGCGGAGCCGCGGCAGCCCCTCCCCCGCGGGGCCCGGTTTCCGTCGGCTCCCCCGGGTCTCTGCGGTGCCGGTGGCTGGGGGCTCTGTTGGAGAAGGCTCGGGGACCGCCCGGGGGCCACCGCGACCCCGGAGCCGCGGCTCCTCTCACCGGGACCCTGGTTCCGGGCAAAGTTGCCCCCCGAGCGGGCGGCCCGGCCTGAGGCGGGTTCTGGGTGCAGGGTCACCATTTTCTCCCCCTCCGGCTTGTTTGTGCGCCGTCGTTCTCACCCCCCCCCGCCCCTTTCGTCTCCCTCCGGCCTAGTTCATTCCCTCCCGGGGTTCTTGGGACGGCCCCCCCTCGGCCAGGCGTTCTCTCCCCGCCCCCTCCCCCGTCATCTTGTTGCTGGAAAGGGCCCGAATTTTCTTTTTTTTTTCTTTTTTTTTTCCGCTCTCCACCTCCCTGGCATTCTGATGACTGACTGACTTCTCTCCCTTTGATCAAGGTGTAGAGGTGTTCTCTTTTGGTTTAGTTTTACTCCCCCTCGTCTCCCTGGGGTACCCGCTCAGGCACTAGACGCTGCCCTCTGAGAATTTTCCCTTTGCCGTCCGAGGGCTGGTTGCGGGCAGGGGGCCCGGGGCAGAGATTGCCCATTTGCAAACTCTTCTGGTCAAGGCCTGCAGGGGATTCCCAGCACTCTGAATATTAACACTTGAGTTGATCTCTACTGGGGTTAAATTCCTATACTGGACACCACAAGAATGTGTCAGAACAGGTTCCCTGTGCAAGGGGGCATCAAACCAAAATACTTTCCGCTGCACACATCGCTTTTTAAGCCACTGGGACGTGGCACAGGTCGTAGCTGGGTTGTTACCTGTCCCTGTCACCCGTATTGAGAAAAGAACGTGTCAGGGTAAACCCCCTTCCTAAGAAACTGAGTGTTCTCCTGGCTTGGGGTTGATGCATCCATCCATCGCTGATTCCACCCCTTTCTCTGAATAAGGGATCTTCAGGTTCACGTGAGCGTATGTAAGTTGTTGAAGTGAATCAGAGTGAGGTGTTTGACTGGAAGGTACTGGACTTTCTAGACTGACTGTGGAGTTTGTACACAGAGTCCTACTTAGTAACTGTAGCCATTGTCTCTTGCTCCAGTGACTTCAGTTGGCAGCCACTGTCCTGCAGTATGTTTTTTTGGACGACATTACCTGGAATAACTTAGAAATATTGTAGTTTTGAGTGTCAGAAGGAAGAGACACTATCAAGACATGATTCTTAGAGCAGGGCTAATGTGGTACAATTGGGTGCTAAAAATAGTCAAGACATTAACACCATTCGGGCAGTAATCATCAGATAATTTTCCATGAAACAAGTGCTTTATGAAAATCTAAGTTTAGCTGAGAGACCAATGTGGAGGCAGTTCAACTTTTCTTTTGCAAGGAGATGTATTCATTAAGATGGGCTTTAGCTTTGAACTATACATGACAATTATGTAAGAGATGTATGCTTTCCTTGGCTTTTTTTTCCCTCATTCAACATAAAAAGTGCTTAATGCTTTTTGTGTTTTTCAGATTCTCTGAAGTTACACCCATCACAGAATTTTCATAGAGCTGGACTATTGGAAGGTCAGCAAAGTGCCATTCTAAAGCATATTGTGTTAGTATGCAAAGGCTTTCTCTGGAATTTCTGAAATGGGAAAGTGTAAAACTTTGCAAACTCACACAATGTAGTTTTCTCCTAAAGGGCCTGATCCTTCTTTTAGAGCAGCTGAGTGTTTCAGTGGATTTGTTGCTGTGTTTGATCTGCTTGTTGGCTGTTGTATCTGCTTTGAGAAGCTTCAAAAAAAATCAAACCTGCAAAAATAATTACAAATTATGTGTTGGGTGTTTTACTTTAGAATTCTAGATCTTAATTCTATACACAAATTGAATATGAGAAGGCCTGAACATTAAGTTGATGAATATGATGTAAATAGTGATACCAAATGGATACTGAGATTGAAAAGTACAAATTTGGAACTCTTATATACCGAACATTTCAAAATGACACATTTATTTATTTACAAAAGCGTGGATGTAGTTATTATTGCATTACACTTAAGGATAAGAAAAACCAAGTAACTAGGGACAGTAATTTTAAATAGCTGATGGGTACTTTAGAAAACATTATTTTCTGCTGTTTTGAGCGTTTTAAGACATACAATATTTTGTTTTGTAGATTTCATATAGATCATCTTTGGAGGTGGTAATACTAGAATTGGACAGCCAAGCTATCAAATTCCCCATTATAAAGATGAGAAAGTAAAGCTGAAATTAAAAGCTTTGGGCAAAATAAGCCACAGACCAGCAAAACAAATCCTTTCACTGTTTTTAGTTCTTTACCCAAAGCCAAACTGCCACTATGAAATATATACGGGTATGCAACCAGTATCTGAAGCGTTTTTTACAGCCCAGTTTGAGAAGGCCATAAATAAGTTTGAGTTGAGTTTAGTAATAGAGGGAAAGTGGGTTTTGTAATTGAGTTTAAGTTTAAATAACAGTTTAGCATTTCTTTGGCCCTGTGACCTGGGACAAATGATTTTACTTTTCAACACTTTTCTTCCTGTAGAAATGTAGATGTCTTTTAAGTCTAGTGATTTTATGTGTATTGAAGACCTACTGTAGGTACTGATTCACTCCTTAAGTGGCTACAACAACTGGGGCCAAAGCCAGGAGCCCACCTGCCATGGGTGCAGGGAGCCAGGCACTTGGGCCTTCCTCAGCTGCTTTCCCAGGTGCGTTAGCAGGGAGCTGGGTCTGAAGTGAAGCAGAAGGGGACCTTATGGGATGTGGGTGCTGTAGGTAGCAGCTTAACATGGTATGCCACAGCACTGGCCCTTTGTTGGTGTTTTTTAAAATGCAGTTTGAAGTGAGAGGTTTTTTAGAATGTTTCCTAACTGGGTTTCTGGTTTTATTCATACTGATCAAACTGGGGCTGCATTATGGAGTGATATTTGCCTGTACAAACCGGTTAATTTCCTGGGCAATAAACCAGAGTGACATAATCTTGGTAGAGATTATCAGGCAGGAGAAAAAAAAAAGGTAAAAAAATGTTAATTATTCAAGCAAATATTTTTAATGAGTTCCTGGATATACAGTCACTTAATAGATTTGCATGTGTTTGCCTATGCGCTTTGTAGTTTTTATTTTTCGTTGAGAGGATGCTCAACCATTTAAAAACAGAACATCATTTTATAGATTTTTATGTAAAATGTAACTATTAAGTACATACTTTAAAATTTTGGTGCAAGATGTTTAAAACATTTGTTGCCTTATTTAATTTGATCTGTGCTGTCTCATTTCTGGTTTTAACTTTTTTAACAGATTTTTAAGAACTTAAGAGCAGAGAGAATGAAATAATGAGCCCCCCGTATCTATCACCAAGCTTTAATAATTACCAATCAAATCCTGTTTATTTTATCCTTATCCCTTCTGCAAACCAAATTATTTTAAAATAATATTAGACATAGTGACTTCTAGTATTAATTTTTAAAATATCCTTGTTTTACCCCAAGAAATAAGTTTTCTAGTTTATTTCAGCAGAATCTCTTGTGCCTTCCCTGTCCTCTTTTCAAGATACGGTAGAGCAGAGTGCTACTGCTGTTGTGGTGGTTCATGTAATTTGGGTTAAAATTACAGGCTGTTGAATGAGATTTGGGTTCATATCCTTGTTTCAACATTACTTGTATGTGGCCTTGACCTAATCATTTAATATTTATGTACTTTGATTTTCTTTTATTTGGGGGAAGTAATTGTGCCTTTATCATCGGTTGTTACAAGAATTATTTTAGACAAATTTGTTTGAAACATTTAATCTAACACATGGTAAACATTTGATAAATATTAGCTACATTAACAATTTTAAATAAGCATTCATGAAATTCAAAATTTTTGCACCAAAAGAAAGATAATGTTAAGTCTATTTCATGTGAACATTTTGAAGTACCCTTCTACTTGTAGAGTGCTTATCATGTGCCAAGAACTTTACAAGTGTAACTCACCGAATTCTCTTTTTATGATTGTTGTTGATAGTATTAGAGATGAAATGAAACCTAACATTCAGTAATTACCCCCAGTCACGTAGGCAGGTATTTTGTTGTAGAGCCAGGATTCTCACTCAGTCTGTGTTCTTTAGTATGCCGAGTTGATCCTTTGTGTTATGTGCAATCAAATATTATTCAGTCTAGAATAAGAAATGTAAGTAACTGGCATTATCTACTTCGTTAATTTTCTTAAAGAGTCCGTGTTTCCCACATTTAAGCAATTTTTTAAAAAAAAAATTATTTGTTTTTATTGGAAAGTCAGATATACAGAGAGGCTACTTTTTATTATTATTGGAAAGTAAAATTTTATAGAAAGAAAGAATTTTCATCCATTGGTTCACTCCCCAAGTGGCCGGAACAGCTGTAGCTGAGCCAATCCAGAGCCAGGAGCCACAAGCTTCACCCTGGTCTCCCAGGTGGGCACAGGGTCCCAAGGCTTTGGGCCATCCTCGACTGCTTTCCCAGGCCACAAGCAGGGAGCTGGATGGGAAGTGGAATAGTTAGGCAAAAAATTGGTGGTGTCCGTGCAGGATGCCATTGTAATAGGGTGGAGAACTAGCATGGTGAGCAACTGTGCCAGCCCCTCATTGCAGTTTTTGTTAAGATTAAGAAATAATTTTTTTAAAATAAAGGATCAAAATTACTTGAAAAATCAGTTGGTTTTAATTGTTTAGTGATGAGGGACAGTTCTGTTCAGCTAGGCAAAAGATATTCTCCAGTAGAAATTTTTCTTCACTGTGATTGTCTTTTCTACTTTTTGCTTAATTTTTTTAATCACATAAAATATTCCATGTGTCTTCTGTTTGCTATTATGCTAATAAAAATAAGTTTAAAGACAATAATAAGGGGGGAGGGGTATGGGAGGGGTGGGGGGAATTCCCCAGTGCCTATAAAACTGTATCACATAATACAATGTTAATAACAATTAAAAAAAAGACAATAATAAGAGGTAAGATGCTAATTTCAAACATGTACTTGAATGAAAAGGTAGACTTTTTATAGATTAATTGCAGATATTGGGATAAGCTTTTAACTAAAATTAAAATTAGGTATGATAAAGATTAAATTTTTGATATGAACTAGAAATGTTTTGCATGATATTTCAGTTCCTTTATTCTTAGCTAATGGAAAATAGATATTTTCTATTTTACTTTTAATATTTGATAAAAAGAATCATTGTTTCTCAGCTATGAATGTATAACACTTATCCGTTCAGAAAATGGTATAGTTGGTATTCAGGTTTTTTTCATTTAAGATTTATTTTATTTATTTAAAAGGCAGTGTGACAGAGAGAAACAGAGAGAAAAAGAAATCTTTCACCCGCTGGTTCAAATGGCTGTAACAGTCGGGACTTGGCTAGGCAGAGGCTTGGAGCCTGAAACTCCCATCTGGGTCGGCCACGCTGGTGACAGCAACTGAAGGCTCGGGTGCATTATCAGGGAGCTGGATCAGAAGCTGAGAAGCCAGGATTCAAGCTGGTGCTCTGATTTGGGATGCTGATGTCACCACCAATGGCTTAATGTGCTGTTCCAACTCTGACTATGGGTCTTAGTTGTGCTTCTTTTTTTTTTTTTATTTTTGAAGATTTATTTTATTTTTATTGCAAACTCAGATATACAGAGAGGATTCACTTCCCAAGTGACCTCGACTGCCTATGCTCTGCTGATCTGAAGCCAGGAGCCAGGAACTTGTAGGTCTCCCACACGGGTGCAGGGTTCCAAGGCTTTCGACCATCCTCTACTACTTTCCCAGGCCACAAGCAGGAAGCTGGGTGGGAAGTGGAGCTGCCAGGAGGCGCTCATATGGGATCCTGGTGTGTTCAAGGTGAGGACTTTAGCTGCTAGGCTACCGTGTCAGGCCTTCATTTTGTTTTTTTTAAAGATTTATTTCATTCATTTGCAAGGCAGAGTTACTGAGCGCTGGAGAAACAGATTTGTCTGTTACTTCACCCTCCCACCTCACCCCACCCCCCAATGGCTTCCGCAGGTAAGACTGGGCCACAGCGAAGACATTCTTATGTATCCCATGTGGCTGAATGGCTCCAAGCGGTTTTGACCATCTTCTTTCTACTTTTCCCAGGTGAATTAGCAGGGAGTAGATTCGAAGAGATGCAGCTGGGACTTGAACCAGCATCCATATACAATTCTGGCTTCCCAAATGATGGCTTTACCTGCTATACCATGGTACCAGCACCCCCTCCTCACCCCACTACTAGTTTTAAAACAGAAAAGTTTTTCATGGTGACTAAGTTGCTGATTATGTTTACGTTTGCAATGACAATTAAATTTTTTTTACAGCTGTATTTGTTTATTTGAAAACCAGAATTAAGAGAGGAGAAAGGAGGAGGGATCTTCTATCCACCAGTTCCCAAGTGACTTGGAGCTTGCCAGGCTGATGCCAGGAGACTAAAACTTCTGGATTTCCCACTTATGTGCAGGGACCCAATAATTGCCCTCTGTTTCTGATGACATGTTTGTTTGAGATTTATTTATTTTTCTTGGAAAGTCAGAGAAAGACAGAGAAAGATCTTTGATCTGCTAATTC